TCTCAAAAGTTTATGGGCTCATTTGGGATACGGAGGAATTTTGGGAAATAGGGAGAGTCTGGTACTTTGCACTGCAGTTTCTCATAAGAAAAGAACTAAAGTCAAGCAAGGAGAGGAGACAAGGGAATAAAGGATTATATTGGCACATTGGCAAGAGTACTTCAGGCACCATGTTGGAGACCCCAGAATTATATTGATGCCCACATTATGCAAAAATCAAATACAGAGCTTAGGAGCGGATTATAAAGCAACCAGAACAGATTCTCACAGAAAATTACCCAGCTAAGTAATATAAATCAGGTAGTCACAGCTACAAACATCTAAGCAAAAGATCCAAATAACCATAAGGGTGAAGCAAAAATTATGTTATTTGAGCAGTGCTCAAGAAACACTCTTCTCTGTGTGATCCCACAAAGTAATGGAGCTTGTATTAGAACATGAGTCCAGACAAAGCCTAGGAAACCAATAGGATCTTGTGAAAGAGCATGTGAAGAATTCTGAAAAAGATGTTGTATGCGTAGAAGATCCTTTCTATTTTTAGGTTCACTTTTCCCAACTTGCACTCTTCAGCTAAGAAGAACAGTCCTTTTGTGGGTACAACAGTTCTTTTGTGAGTATAAAGGCACTTTTGGATCCAAGCCAAAAAGTGAAAATAATGTTACAATATTTTGACCAACAAAATCTTAAAACAGAAGATAAATATATCTGAATGTTTGGAATGCTGAATTAAAATTAAATGCATCTGATTTTTAGAAAATTTGTTATATACATTCAATTAAATCTGAGATTTCATTTTGTTTATTTTCAGACAAGTAATAATCTCATCAACAATTAATGCATTAAATGCTATGAAACGCTGCAAGACTATTTTTGCAAATGTTACTGAAATAATAGATTTTGTTCTCAAATAAATATGCTTATAAATATTAAGAAGGAAATATATACTGTCTGGAAGACATGCACTTTCCAAACATTTCCTATGTATTACTCTCTGGAAATTCTATCATTCATTTCATATTTTTTTTCCATTTTTTATCCTGTTATATTCTTATAATGCATGCTTTCAAATAGATCCATCATCATGTTGTTTTGGAGAGGAATTAAAAATAGTGTTTGAATTAATTTAATTTTGCATGCATAGTTTTAAATAATTTTCCAGAAAGTATACTGAGTTTGATTAGTTGGTGTTGGTGGCAAAGCCCAGATGTAGAAACAATTTATATGTCACTGAAAAAAGCTAGTAAAACTAATTTAAAAATCAAGAAAGAACTGGCAAATTCCTATTGAAAATATAGCAATAAAATTTGTAACTTTTAATGCAAGAGGATAAATATAATCTAATGAATATAAGATATTATGAGATGACTCATATTTGGTTTGTTATGGACTAAATACTATACAAATAAAATTTGATTTTTGATCCCATAATTAGCATAGTTTGGCAGTGAAGGATGAAACTTGTTCAAAATAAACAGAAAGGGGGAGGGAGAAGGCAAAAGATGAACTACAGTGATTACTTAAATTACGTGTTTAGAAAAGTAGGAAAATTGGGGAAACTATTGGTAAATTCTAGTTAAAATAAGTGGAGGAAGGGACAAAATAATGGTTAATGTCTATTACGATCAACCAACAAAGTAGGTGTGGATTGTGTTGTTTTTTTTTAAGGAAACTGCAGATCTTTTAGAGAGGTGTGAAGGGATTTTTAATTGCATTGACATCTGTTAGAAAGCAATCTCTGCCAAGACTGGTCTCACTAGGAAATTTTGACTGGCCTGGCTAACAGCTTTCTCCATCACAAGGCACAAGGGGATCAACTCTCCTTGACGTGATTCTAACCAATGAAAAGCATTTTTGTTAATGATATGGAAATAATGACCAGGCAGCACTGGAGTACTTGATTTTATGGAAAACTATATCTAAGCATATCAGTAAATACATTATTTAGATTTCAAGGAAGTAGATTTTAATACAGCAGCAATACCTAAAATTCAGTGACATGAAACCCTAATTGGAAAAGATGTACTTGGACAGAAATTCTGAAAAAAAAAATCTAAATAACATAAGATGTGAAAAGAAAACAATATTACAGTATTTGAGTTTGGGAAAAAGTGCTAATAATAAAAAGGATTTAAACAGTTCAGTATGAAAGGTGGGGGGAACAGTAAACTGAAAGCAAATTGAAGAGGCAAGATTGTGACTAAAGTTGATAGAGCATCTACATCTGCTGAATGAGTTCAGATTTCATTCACTCATAATTAAATATTAAAAATAAAGAACTTGCTGAGTATCTGTTATTTCTTGAAAAATCCCACAAAGATTATTAAAGTACCAGATGACTGGGACTAGGATCCTATCATCAAGGTGATTACAAGTTGGGAACAAGTCTTATCAGTTTAAGCGCATCTTATTTATTGATAAGGTAATTATCAAATATATGTCTTGAGAAACAAACCCAACACACCAGAAAAAGAAAACCAAGAGAATTTGACACCCATCCACTCCAGCCTAGAAGCAAAGCCAGGTTTTCAAGGATTTTTGGAATACCTGCAGAGTGAGTGAGTGCCAGATGAATCTTGGAGAGGATGCTATTTCAAAGGGCAGGTGCTGCAATCATATATGATAATGGGACGGACTTCCATGAGTAACTGCAGTATAATGCACAAGATAAAGGAAAGCTACTCAAGGATGCCTAAGTGGCATAATGAAAACGAGAGAAGATCAAAGAAGGATTCATTTTTAATGAAAAGGGCAAATGAAAAACAGCATTTGAAAATTATGCTCTAATTTTGCATTGAATCATCCGTTTTGAGTGCCTATCTTCACAAGAACTTACATAGTTTTTACTATTTTCCTATATTAGGAAATCTTTACACTATATCTATCCTCTCTTCCAAAGTATAGCATAATAAAAAAAGTCAATTTTATGTTTTTAAAAAACAACATTCACCAATTTCATGTTTGTAAAAAAAAAAATTATATTCCCTTTAATCAACCTTATTATATAGGTTAACTTTTCATACTTTATCAGAGAAACTGAAAAATAAATTAATCTGAACATATGATACAATATATATACTTTGTATTTTAAAGGAAATATTTCAGAATCTCCAATATAAAGATAGACTTGAAAATGTATACGTGTGGCTAAATTTCCAGAGATAAATGACTGAACATCAGTATCGTGAACAGCACCTAATCTTCTCAATTGTGATTATAAGAAAAAATTACAAACTGAGACTATGAAAACACAAACACACATACACACACACACAAACTGCTAATCGGCTTTTCTTAGCACATGGTTTTTAGAAAAGAATATGCAAGCTGTTTATCTGGCAAATCTGTGCTACAAAGGCCTGGCTGCTGAATATCACATGGCAACCAACTTTTGCTATGAATTTTGATGAGATATGTAAATAAATGGCATCTATTAACTTCCTCAGCATTATTTGTTTCTGGTCAGAGATCTGTTGGAATAATGTAATTATATGCCATATAAAACTAAATAATATGGACCCTGAGTAAAAAATGAAGATAATAATTAGATTATTTTCTCATCAGCTTTATTATTATTGCATTCTGAATGTTTTAAATCATATATACTTAATAATCTGTAAAACAACTGCTTAAAAAATGCTAGTATTATTCCCACTGGGAAGAATGGGATGGCAGGTGTGCTATTTATTATGTTCTCGTAGTGAAATTTAGTCTCTTGGTCTCTATATTAAATCTGTAATCATTTTAAAATACAATGCATGTATTGTGTTTTTGCAAGTTTTTCTATAGTTAGTAATATGCAAGAAAGGCAAACTGCATTTCTTATATTCATAAAGAATAAGTATGTCTATAAATTTTATATAATTTGAAATAATTTCTGTTGATAATAAAAATAAACGCCAGGTCAAGACTTCTTTTAATGACTTATAGAGTATGCTCTTTCATAGAAATCAATGTATTTTGGAAATAAAAAAAAATTGCAAACAATAATTTAGCACTCCAGTATTTATTGGCAATTCTTTTGAATTTCTATTTTTGCATTCTTTTTCATTCTTTTTACACATATTTAGGATGCAGAAAATACTAATTCTGTACATCTAACTGTGTCTTCGGACAAATATATGCTAAGGGATCAGCAATGTATAAACACGAATGCAGACTATAAGCAAAAGTCATTCTGGGGGGGAGGGAGAGAAAGAGGGGAAAAAAAAAAGAATCACTGGGTAGTTTCTGTTAACAATGTACTCACATCTGCATAATGACCTCTCATATCACAGCGGTTACAGTGTTTTTTCCAGTACATTTTCTCAGGGCACTCTCTAGAGCAGTGTCCTGGCAAACAACAATTTAAACAAAATCGTGCTGGACAGCTGTTTTGTAGGTGACCTCTCTGTGCACAAAGACAACAGGGTGGAATTTTCTGCAAAATAAATGCAAAGAAACAAAAATAATCAAATGGTTATAGAATCAGAGGAATTTAAATTAAGTAAAATAAACAAGGCGCTTCCATTTATATTCTCAGGGAATTTCTAAGTCCTTGGCTTAAGACCTACTTTACTATTTCATAATCTCATGCATTGCCTACACAAGGAAGCCCTCAAATAATAATTAAAACATAAGGTAAAACAAAACAACAGTACAATAAATAAAGAGCAGAAGATGAACAATCAGTAGCTAATGAATAAAATCATCTCCAGTACTGCTAGACACAATAAAGGGTCCTTCCCAAAATTCCACCAAGATCCATCTGCTTGAAAAAAAAGTAGTTACTTAGACCTCAAACTGGGCAACTTTAAGATGCATGGAATTCAACTCCCAGAAGCCCCCCAGCTGTTATTTTAGGTAATAGTACTATAGAAATCACTTGAAAGAAGCGGTTTGCAAAGTGCATTGCTGTGACTGAAGCACCTTCCTTCAAAGCATTAAAGCAGCCATGTTCTTTGCAAACCTTACACCAAATCTTTGAAAGCTAGAACCAGCTGACACACATATATATGGATATAGAGATAACACTTCCACTGAAACTGCTAGTGAAGTGCAATGGCATAACCTGCTCACGCCCACAGAGATAGCAGGGTCAACTGTCAAAGCAGTGAGGTCAGGCATAAGCCATGCCAAGGATCCCAATTGTTGTAATGCTTCAAAGAGAGATTTTTCATTTGTGCTAACCTGTTTTGGAATACCTTTCTGTGACAAGAACACATGAAATTGTATCTAATAGCAATCAGGAAAACTCCCAATAGCTGATTATGCCAATGGATTGTCCTATCATTTTGCAACGGTCTACATATTCTGCTCACCACTCAATTTGCCACATTATTTAATTTTTTGTGGCTGTTCTTTAAATGTCTTATGGTATTAATGATATCAGTGTTTTGTACTCATAGTGAAAGTTTACACCTGTCAATTTTCAGCCAATGAGAATAAAACGAATAAAATATAAATCTACTGCTTAAATCTATTCCAAAGATATTTAAACACATAAATCTTTGCTATTATTCTGGTAAAAATTACTACATTGGGTTGCTGGTCATTATGCACAATACTATGGATTCTGTATTCTCTAGCAAGAATTCTCTCATCAGCTGAGTCAACATTTTTTTCTTCTAAGGCGCGGATATAAAAATAGAATGTGTGTGCAAGGTATGTGCAGTACAAGGTATAAAGCTGTGTTTTACCATTTGCTTCCCCAGTGACGGCAGAGTGGGGACTAATTATAGGATGCATGCCTGTATCTCACTTTCTCACAAGCCCTATTGTTCTGTCCACTCATTCACTAAAGTGAGGGAAAGAGAAAAGAAATCTTCAGCGAGCAGGTGGTAATCCTCAGCATGGGCCACTGGGTCTCTCTTGATTGGATTATATTGCTGAGAGCCACTGAAGAAAGCACCAACTTCAAATACTCCATCTCCTCTCTTACAAGGGAATCATGCTCCTAATACCTTCTGATTAATCTCCAGGATAGGATCCACAAGGCAAAGAAATTAACAGAAAATGTTCCTTGGGCCTAAACTGCCACTGCAGTTGAGAGTATGGAAATTCTTTTCTTTTTTTTCCTTTCTCAAAATGCCAGCCAGTAAAACTATTTCAGACCAGTACTTTAAAGTCTGAAAGTCATCAGCTAGCAATAAAACAAATTGAAATACTACATTTACCTTTGGGGTAGGACAATTTTTTGATAAATGACCTCGTTTATCACAATTTCTGCAAGTGACGTTTTTGTCCACTGTGTAGTATCTGTTGTTATGTCGCATTGAAACATAATTACCAATCTGTGCCTGAGGAAACAAAAGAATTTTATTAGAAGCTGAAAGCTTAATGTTCTGCCACCCTAAGCTTTTACAACGATCAAGTTTAAGATATTGATTTTTTTAAAAGAAAGATGTTTATTTTTATAGTTCTTATACATATACACCTCTCTAGAATCAAGATAGGCTTCCCATCTATAAATAAGTAAATATTTTTGCAGGTATCACGTCCTTTTCAAAGCAGGTTTTAGAAGTTACTTTTTTCTAAAACTCTTGTCAATATTATTTAATAGTGGCATCTTTTACAAAATACATTTAATTTAATTGGGAAAATAACTAATTTACCAATGAATGTAGAAAAGATATTATTAAATTACCTGCATGCATAAAATGCCATGAAAAAACATCTACCGTACTGCCAACAAAAAAAAACATCCTTGATTTTTACACTTAGATCAGAAATTTACAACTCGGTCAATATACCTTAATATTCAAATAAAACTGAAAATCAAAAGCTAGACTATGACTTTAAGAAAAAAACCAAGGATATATTTTTTCAAATATGAAAAACTTGACTTTTCTCAAGTAACGAAAGTATTATTCTATATTTCCATATCCTGCTCTCTTTCAAAGTTCCATATAATTCTGATATTCCATGGTTCGAGTTAATGCTCTGATTTCTTATTACACACCACTTGCATCTTACATCTGTGCACACAGTTCCTTGACCTTTAGTTTTAAGCCCTAATACCTGGCTCAGTATGTGCTCCTCTAATTAAATAACATGGTCACTATCAACTGTAGTCTTTTGTATTAGAAAGTCAGTAGGTGCCCATTACTGCCATTGACTATTCTGCATCACCCACATAAATAATAAATTCTCACTAAAAAATCTTACTAGCTATGAATTTTTTTAAAGGGAAGAAATAGGTTCAGGATTGCATCACTGCCTTGAAACCATGACCGGAAGCAAGAAAAAAAAAAGCAGTTGCCACATTTGGGTAGATGTTAGTTTATTCTAGACATTCTGCCATTCAACTTGCTACCAGACCAGTCAAGCAGAACTCCTAAGTGGAGTGAGCAATAGCAGGTTTGTAGGTCTGTGTACGTGCTTGTGTGTGAGTGCGTGTGTGTGTATGAAATCTGCAAGAAAATTCACCTGTAATGAAGCAGAAGATCCCTCCATCAGCTTTTCTGCCTTTTTCCCATCTCTCTCAGCTTACATTGCTACAACCCATGCCACTGTTTGAAATTTTATGTGAAAGTTTTGGGTTTTTTTTTAAAAAAAATTCTTCTATGTGGTGATTAAGGAAAATAATTAAACTATTAACAGCAACTCATGTTATTCTGTAGAGTACTTCCAATTATTGATGGAGCATTTTTAGGATAGCCATGATAGGCAAAAAAGAGCTTGAGAAACAGATTTTGTACTGCTTACCTTTACAGTATAATGCAGCTTGTTTGGCTTGTTCAAATTGATTAGAAATGGCAGTAGATGTCTCAGACTTTGCAAGGGGTATAACATAATAGTAATGAACTGACCTATTGTAAAAACGTTATTCTTTCAATCTGGATTCCGACCTTAATTTGTGAATAGAATCAGCCATGGCTAATATATTACTTTCTGCAACAGGCAAAGGAAGGCCAACTTCATTGATTCTGCTTGATCTTTCTGAGATATTTTATATCATCTGCCAAGGTGTTCTGGATCATTTCCAGGAATTAGGGGCTTAGTATGGTAGTTTCACTTTAACTTGTAGGGATGTTCTGAGATATACTCAGATATACCTTTGCCAAGACTGGCCATCTTACAGAGGCTTGTGGATTCGTGTTCTCTGCAGTGCAGCCTATGCTCTCAGTGTAGGCTCCATGTCTTGAAATTCATTAAGTTGGGTTGTTTCCTAATGGATTGTTTCAAAGACCTATCTTTTCACCAGATCTTTCTCATAAATACCACTTGATGGTTTTGTTTAATTTGACTCTATCATTCCTTTAATGAATATATTTCACACTTCTTACATTTTCTGCTTTGTTATTATATTTTAATAAGTGTTGTTATAAACAGCGTTGAGACCTAATTGTCTGAGAAGTAGTCTAGAAATCTGAATGAATGAATGAATGAATGAATGAATGAGAGCTGTAAAGGAAGGATCAGAACCAATCACTGGAGAATAATTCTTGTGGCTTGGAATTGATCAATTCCTAAAGAAAACTGGGTTCATTATGGCAGTCCATCTATGCAGGAATGAGAGATCTGTTGAGAATATTCTCAAGAGTGACTACAGCCAAATAATTCCTCAGTGTTCTGGAGAATTTACTAGGTGAAAGGACTGACCATTTTGGCAAAGCTGCACTTTTTGCTAAGGAATAGCAAAAAAATTTTTTTAAAGCCACTTACAATATCTATTCTGAACTTCCTGACTACAAGAAACTCAGAAAGCTGAGAACTCCAAGCACTGAAACAACTCAGTTTATGACAAGATCAGGCAGCATAAATCTCATAGTAAATCAACAAAGCATACATTAGAGAAGCATTTGTTAACAGCAAATATATTTTTTTTCCATCATTGCACTGCATTTGCTACGACATTTATGTTATAAACTGCCCATTTCAATGCTTGGAGTTCCTTAGTTAATTGCCCAGCAGACCTTTTTTGAAGGGTGAATAGATCTGCACTTTGAGGACCATCTGATTCACAAACACTTTGGACTTTATGCCACCAACCTGAAAGATCAGTTTCCAAGATCAAAATGATGCTTGAAGGAGCATGTTATGTTTAGTAAGAATTTGTAGAAAGATTATAGGTAATCTTCAACTTACAACAGTTCATTTAGTGACCGTTCAAAATGACAACGGCACTGAAAAAAGTGACTTATGACTGTTTTGGACACTTATGACCATTGTAGCATCCTTATGGTTAGGTCCTGATCCCCAGGATTCCATTCTCTTCCTTCTGATATGTAACCATCACAAATTATAATCTAGAGATATGTGACATGATGTCAGCACTGTGCTGATCGCAGCTCTTTATAAATCCTGGGAAGAACAGAGGCATGGATGATTAAATAAACCTAAGATGAATTTTGAGAACACAATGGCATTGTGGCCAGATGGATTTTAAGTAGTTTAAATACTTAATTACTTATTAAGTATTCAATTTAATTGCCCAATTATGATAGTGGGCAAGATGCATACCTTCATAATCCAAGAATGGATGGTATTATTATAGAACATGTTAGGTAGCTCTATTATGGAAGCTTGCCTGGAAGTTTCAGCTTGGACAGAAAACAGTTTACAGAAAACAGGGCAACTAGGTGAGATCAGTCTTCTACGTACAGCACAACATTACTTAAATTAAACATATCGAGGAATAAAACCTTACATAAAGCACTAATTAACACAATTATATAACATATCTTCTATAACAGAGTTCCCCAACCTTTCCAGCTTTGTGGACTGGCATGGGGGGGGGGATGATTTTGATTGTGTGGCAGGCAAACCTGTTATGCGCACAGCTCCATTTGCCAATGGAGTATGCCTGCACGCACTTGCCCACTGCTCACGCAAGGTGGGATCCACATCCATGTGCTCACCTGCTGCTTTGGGCGGACCATACAAGAATCCTCAGAAGTGTTCATGATTTATTTTTCCAGTAATGAAAGGACATTAATAATACAAAATACACAAAATGCAATATTGCACTAATGTACCTGTAAGTCTTTATCACTGATGGTCCATCCTGTTCTATCTTCTCCTGCAAAACAATTATTTGGAAACAGTTGACATTGATTTGAGGAACTATAGGATTTGTCTTATTAGGAGCAAGTTAATGAAAGAAAATTACAGATTTTACCTATTTTATCTACACAGTATCTAATCTGGTGAGATAGGTGGCATATACATTAATAATTAATAATAATCATAAGCAATGTATTTTGGGACAATATATATAGTGTTTTAATACTAAAATAGTATTTTAAGGCATATATTCTGCTTTAATAGCACATCAAAAGCTTCACTGCACCAGAATCTTAATGACAGAATAAAATAAATTTTACAATGAATGTCCAGTGACTTTCAAGAGTTACTGAAAATATTTTGTAACATAAAAATTTAACTGGAATATCAATTATCATTTGGATGGTTCTAACATGGACACGTCAGATGTTTGATATTATTCTACACATTTGACATAATATGCTTTGTCAATTCAGTATTTCTTTTTAAAGTAAACCTTTGGAAGCAATCACTGTAACTATTTCCTAGCAATCTATGTATTTCTCATTAACGCAACCAGATAAATACCAGCTTTCAGTTGGTTGATTAATGTGCAAGTTATAAGAAGCTCTTCATTGTTTATAGTATAACACAAATATTTATCTAAAATCTTTATAGATTGCCTTTTGGAACACATATATAACTGGCAGCATCCAACAAAAGATGAATCCAGTTGAGATATAATGAATGAATAAAAATGTAAGAATCCAGTATAATAAGGAAACACCATGACTCAGGAATTAGTGTTATAAAAACCCTCTTAGAGAAAGTCAGATGGAACAAATGGATTTTCAAGGATATTTGAAAGCTTGTACAAAATGCTCTTTCATAGTGCCAAAGAAAACAGCTCCACATCCAGGAGAACACCAATAAGAAGACCCTTGACTGGCACTCAAAAAAGGGCCTCTTAGTTGATCTTTACAGAAGGATCATACAATTGAAGGCAGTCTTCTGTATATCCCGTTTAAAAGTTTAAAAGGAAGTGAATACAAGGGAAAACAGTCTTCTATATATCCCCAAATTGTTTAAATCTTTAAAAAGTGAACATAAGGGCTTTAAAAAGAACTCAGAATTGCTCTGATAACCATATCCAATTGGTGCAAAATTAGTGTAACATGTGTGGACCCTATTTACACAGATACATAGTATACTAGTATTTTTAAATCATTTTTATAAGTGGATCACATTTAGCCTATATGGGTAAACAAATGTGAATGGTCATTATTTCCCAGACCAGATGCCAAACCACAGGTAATATAGATATTGCCTGCTGTTACTCCCCAGCAATAATACCAGAGGATTATTGCCATTCATCCCGAAGATAACAATGGCATATAGCCAACATGAATAATAGGCACTGAATTTGCATAGTGTTTTAAAATAACAATTGGATTGAGTTTCCACATTCCAAAATTAAAAATAATATGCTCTGTGAAAATGCAGCTTCCTTTGTTATCCTACCTCTGCCACCATTCGTCTTCATATTAGTACTAACACTATAGAAGATGATGCAAAAATGCCTTATCATTTTTCCCATGGGAAATAGCTATATTAATTTAATTAAAGTAAAACACATTCAAATCAAGTTCAGATTAAAATAGTTTTTGTCCTACCCCACAGCTTTTCTTATGCAGTCCCTAGCACAGCCCACAAAGATATAGCCCTCAGGTCCAAGACAGCTGCTCCTTCATTTAAAAACACAGCTATGTCTACAAACAACTTGACAATTTTAAATATCCAATTATTCATACCAAAGTACTGAAATATGCCATGTAACAAAGTTGACTTACCTTTTTAAATGGCATGCCTTAGTCAACTTTTCCCTGATTGTCCTACAATTTATTTACATTTTTCTTTAAGAATACAAAAAAAAAAAAAATCTTAAAATTTTTGTTCTTGAACTATAAATTGAAGATATGACCCATAGCTATTATTTCTTTCTATTTTATATATGTCATCTTTCTATCAAACATTTGCTGATTAATGGGGGGCAGTGTTTGCTCCCCCCCCCAGCAGTTTTACATTGATGAACAATGCTGTTTATCATCAAACATGGCTTTCTCAGGCACAGCTGTTCCATTATCTCACATTTTACAACCTGTATTTTATTCTGTAACTCTTTTTGATCTTTGCTGGAATTAATTGTGTAGCTTATAGACCAGTTTTCTAAACAATTAAGTTCATTTCTATCCAAAACGCTATTCTCTAAAGCATTTACAATCAAATTTTACTAGTTTCTTTATGAGAATGTCATGTGGAACTGTGTCAAAAGCACTGCTAAATTTGATTATGCTGAAGATTATATCTATTGCATTCCCTTTATCCACTAAACCACTTATCTAATAAAACTCAGAGATTAGTCTTTACTGGCATGTATTTCTTACATTTACAATACATTACTAGCAACCATTTCTAAATCTTTATCCCAACCCATTTTGCAAAGTAAAAAATAAAATCCATTATGTTAAAGTATTTTAAGTGAATAAAGTATTATTGGTTCAAATAGCTTTATTACTGTTTTCTTTTATTGTCCAAAAAAGGAAAAAAAAATGATAGCAAGCCAAAAATACATGCTTCTACAGTGGCTTAAATAACTGCACTACTTATTCAACATTGTTGGTTTTTTAAAAAACATGTCTTTTATTACATCATAGAATATAAATAATAACCAAGTGCAATGATATTTATACAATAGGAACTGATAACTAATACCATAATGATTAATTTAAATCTGTCAAAAATTTTATGTCAGTGTTAAATATGATTTGTGAGGTTTAAATGAACAGAGTTGCTTAAATTCTAGAATTAATGCTGAAAATAATTTGCAAAGTACACTGAATGATTTTTATAATATTAAAATTTAGATATTTGAGCTTGATGCTAAAGTATCTACTGTATTGTTATTGTTGTTTATGAATATGCAAGAAAAAAGGAGGGAAAGGATCTGCTTGAAAAACGTAAATATTTAGTCGCTGATTTGTTTCCTCTCTATACTCTGAGTGATTTATAGTGTTTTTAAACAATTAAACCCCCTTAAAAACTATACTATAAACAACTATATTTGCCTTGCTGAATCATGTTTGCATGTATGCATGCTTGAATTTAGCTAAGCTTCTTGTGTTCTGTATATGCTGTTTGTTCCATCACAGTTGTATGTTCTCCAAATTTTATCAGATGTATTATATTTGCATCAAATCTTGAATGAAACAGGTTGTTAAGCAATTAAGATGCATACAAATATTTGGGAAATTTTTTGTAAGTATATAGGACCATGTCTGATAACTCTGTATTTTTAGAATTACTTTTACAATGATTCTTATTAAATATATACCCAAAAAGATTTAGTTGGGATATGTTGTATAGTCTATTCAGTACATTGAAGACTGCATTCTGATTTGTGCTGTTGAGTCTATGCAAAGCATTGTTAATAGGATTCTGGCCTGCCAAGTCGACTACCATAGTCTTAACTCCTTGTGACTTCATGGACATAGTTATGCAGTTTTGTTGGCAATAGAAATGGCTTCCCACTACCTTCGTAAACTAATCTACAATCCAGTAATTCCCTTGTGGTCTCCCACCCCACCTTCCAGCCTCAGCAGGTCTAAAATGGTCTTGATTTTCTGAGATCAGACAGTGAAGTCCTGGACAGGCTCTAAAAGCTTTTTATGTTTAAAAGTTGAAGTATCTTTTAAAAAGATGGGTTCCTGCCTGTTTTACAATATTTGTTTCACAAATATTCATTACGCAGTTGCAAGAAATCAGAGGATATATTTTTTCTGGTATACAAGATTATGGTATTCTCTAACATTAATTAATCAATCTAACCAATTCTTTTTGTTGTATTAGAACTTTAATGAAGATATAGCTAATTAAAAACTGAAGTAAAATCTTTATGGATTTACTTTGTATAGTTTTTTTCCCCCAAAGGACAATATTTGGTTTTCTGCACTTGTAGATTTCAAACCAAACAGTATTTTGTACTAAAAGTAGGCCGAGACTCAGAATAGTGTAGAATATAACTTAGTAATCTGTATACTTTTATATACAGAAAGGTACTCTGAATCTTTGAGGACCATAAAAGAAAGTGATTTGAGTCTGGGGTTACAAGAGGAAGGTGGGATCAGGAAAAAGCACTGAAAGTTTTCTTCTCTAAATTTTTTCTCTGTTGCCTTCTGTTGCAAGGTAACTCTTTATCCAACACTGTGAATCCATCTTCTTCTTTAAAATTTAGCATGAAGAAATACCTGCAGATCAAGGGTATTATAAAAACTATAAAAACCACTGCTGATAGTTATCATTCCCAACTATTAACTTCTGACATTAATTTTTATATTAAGAGTATTCCAAGATCCCTTTAACTGGTAATAAGCATTTGATTAACTATAAAAGAGTTAATCTACTGATGGAATGGATTCGTTCTTAATACCTTATTTAAAAAAACTGAAGAGCTTCATAAATTTCCTATAGCAGGATTTAAGTAGTTTCTGGAAAGACCCATTTAATCATAATTTTATTGTAACAATCACACATTTCTGAGAATCTCATCCCCAATGTAAGGGATTTTGCAAATTCTTTAAAGTGTTAATGACAAATTCTTCTTTAAGTAGGGTTATCTTGTTTTGCTACTTTTTTTTTGCAATCTTAAATAATCAGTGCAAGAGATCACTTCAGTTAAAAATTTGAAATGAAATCATTTCAAGTGTTAATATTGGTAGAATGACTACTAATTTTTATTAAATTACAAAAAGAAGGAACAATTTTTTAAACAATCTTATGCTGCCTGATGGTTATATTTTTGAGGGCTATAACAGAGCGCAGTTAGAATTTAATATCTATTCAGAAAATAATATTATTTAATCCAAACATGCAGGAATTATAATTTAATCCAACTGAAGACTATATATCAAGCAGTCAGTTGCATTTCTACTACATATTCCTCTATGTATTACGGTAATTTTTATTAAGCTAAGCCTCCAT